TACAATATTTTGGGGGTCTATATTGAGTTCCCTTATTCGTGTAACCACCATACAGGCCCCAGTACACTATCAGCCCTGTTTTCCTGGCTCCCAGAAGGTCACCGCCATGTTTTGGAAACCCACGAAATTACAGATGGAAAAGGTAGCATGATGCTTCTATGCGGAGAATCGAGCGTATATGTGGGCTAATGGAAGGTATATAAGGAGTATGGAATTGGGTTAGTTGAATGGCGAGCCAGGACTCTGCCATCGCGCGCAGACTTCGTGCCGGCATTGGTTTCCGACCTTCTGAGGACGTTGGCGACCCCGGCGACCGATCGCTGAGCTCCACATCCCAGGTGGAAACATGGCTGCGGTCCTAAGCTCTTATAGGTTTACTGGTTGGAGGTTAACAGCTCTAGAGGGACAAGGCTTGCGCATGCCTTGGCCTTAATGCCTTGGCCTTAAACAAACTCAATAAATGTCAAGTTACGGAAGTCAGAAAGGAGTTTCGAGTACAAACTTCGAGAGCAGCTTGGGGGGCATGGGTGGGGTCTATGGCCTCGGATCCTGTAATTTGATTTTAGTTTGAAGTGAGTTGCTGATAGGTCCACGGTTGGAACGCTCGCGAGTCAATTGCAATACCAGGAAACTCGGTGAAGTCTCAAGAAAATCTGCTNNCCCCCCCCCCCCCCGCCCCCCTGTGCGGGTCTTAAAATCAAACAGCACAACCCAGGGCAGGCAGAGGCCACCAAGCCGAGAGTGCCAAACCCTGTGGATCTTGAAGCCTTCCTTACTCAAGAACCCCAACGCTCGACTCACAATCCCTCAGCTTTCGAACCATGAGATGCGGCCCAGCATCGTGGAACCGCAAGTGCCTCATATCTTTCCAAGCACTGGAAAGCTGGAGAGGCTTTGGATTAGCTCAGGTTGAGGATATGGGCCCGGGCCGCTTCAGAAAGGCATGCCTTGCTGTCACTCCCAGGGGCAAGTCTCAGGATGGAGGCGTCCCGAAACAGCAAGTTAGGTGTGCTCTAAAACGCCCAACCCAATCTTTGAGAATGCCTCAGCTGAACCTGCGCCAGGGGACTCCAAACTTTGCGCATTGGCCTGGCTACGCTCCACGGCTGCCCAGATGCACCCAACCTCAGCCGGCTCATCTTATGCAAAATGTGGAGGATTGCGCAGTTTAGGTATGAGGTCTTGGGCTCTGGTGTTTACTTGAAAGTATGATACAAATCACGAATTGCGGTGAACTTTCCCCCTTACTTGACTCAGACCCAATTACCTGTCAACCTCCAATGCGAGCTGCAGGGTTTATTCCCCACCCTCACAGTGGGGTTGTTAGATTTTGAGAAGTCCATGCTCTCCTCGCCCTCCGCGCAGTGCAGAGTATTCAGCTGCCGAATTTCCTTGCAGTGCCCAACGTGCAGAATATCCATAGAATCCCAGCAGTGCCCCATGGCAGAGTATTCCTGCAGCGCCCAACTGCAGAGTATCCCTGCAGTGGCCAGCCGCAGAGTATCCCCACCGTGCCCAGCCTCAGAGATCCCTGCTGTGCTCATCCCAAACTATTCCGGAGGTTCCCTGTAGTGCTCCAATCTCTCGCTGCAGTACCGAAACTTCAGGGTATCCCTGGAGTGCCCAACCATAACTGTATATAAACCTATATGACCATAGCCTTACATAACCGTACAGAACCCTGAACAACCCTACATAATACCAAATAACCATCCACAAGTCACAAGTCCTAGCCTCACACACGCCACCCCATCACCCCAACGGTAGTGCTTGGAATGTACAGTTGTTACGTCTGCAGGCTGGCGAGACGTTTTTGGGGTACAGTACTAAAACATGCTCGCTGCTCGATATTGTTTCTGGAACTAGTTGATGATGCCAGTAAGCCACAAAATGCTAAGGGAGGGGATGTTGGAAGTTGATTTGCAACATTATAGGCTGTTTCCAGGTACACTACTTTACACTTGATTGGGTTTATAAATCTGCCTTTCCTTTTCAGAGATGAGCTACATGATGTCTTCTTGGGGTCCGAAAGGCTGGGGTAGTCAATGTTGCGCCTTGGGACGAGTTTGTAGGTGAGTACAGCCATAAGGCTTTTGCATGTGAAGTTTTGCATTCACAGGCACAAAGATGATGGACCTTGTTCTGTTATGATTGAAAGAGGTGCTGCAGCATTCGTGGCCGGAAAAAGAATGACCCTCACCTTGGCAGTCGTCGTCTGAGCAATGATTTTTTTTGCAGAACTTCCGCAAGTCAAACTTTTTAGCTCACTCCAAAGCGGCTGCACAAACATCATCACTTGTCACGACCAACAAAAGCGCCTTTCGCCCCAAACATACCTTGTCGTAAGGTCTTATTCAGAGAGCTTCATGACGGGTAGGTTGTGCTCATCGCTAAAGGAGCGAAACAGACAACCTCACCTCTAGACTCCCCCATGTAAACAGCAATGTGCCAGGATCCTGGTCATAGGGGCCACTAAAACAGCCCCCCTCCATCTTTGAAAGCTACATCTGGCTCTCTTGTTGGAAATCTCTGTCCCTAAGCGGCCAAGCCCTATTCATCCTCCCTCAAACTCTAATTTGGTAAGACGTTACTTTTACCTGGCTCTTCTATTCGAGAACCCGCGACATGAAGAATCTGAACCCTCTCCAGTTCTGAAAGCAAAAGCTTGTTTGTCTCGGAAGCCTCAACACGAAGAGCCTGAACAGCCTTGGATCCTTCAGGCAGAGCCTTCTCTTGAGTTTCAAAAGCCGAGAGATTGCTGTAGCTCCGAAACTTTGAAATGCCATGGTGGATACCTCATGACAACAGCCACTGTCATGGGCGAGGTCGAGCGGGGTTCTGTGTCATAATTTGCCGAGCCTTGACAGCAAAAACTCCACGGCCCCTGAAAGCTCGCAGTCGAGAGCATCCCTTCCCCCTAACATTAAAAGGGCTCCCCCCACCCTAAATGTAAATACTTGGAACGTACAAAATACTAGGTGGGGGAATATTAAGGGGGGGGTGTGGTATTTATCGTACGACCCGAACACTAGGGGTGTAAATAGAAATCTGATTAGAATCGTATAAAATTCGGTCAAATCTAATAGTGGACTATTTCAATTGAGGCCTTATCAAGGACAATTGGAACTTAGGGCCTTACTAGGCACTATCTGAAGGGCCTTATGAGGGACTATTTCAAACTAGGGATTCATTAGGGACTGCTTCAAATTAGGGACCATTCCAAATTAGGGCCTTACTGGGGGCTATGTCGAATGTGGCTTTTATAGAAATTCTTTTATAAAAACCATTCAACAACAATCAACATCTAGGAAATCAAGCAGATCCCTAATCCTTAAGAGTGGTGCCAAAAACCACCCGTAATTCAGAGGACCCGAGCGGCAATTACCTTTAGTCTTGGCCCTTTGAAAAATAATCTTGGGGGAAGCTTTCAGAGTTTAAATGGAATTCTGGAGAACCCGTATTTGATATTAGGGGGGGTTTCATATTAGGGGGAAGGGATTAAGGGGACCCCAATATAGACCGCAATATATTATGATCCTTTACTATGGGGACCCCAGAATGCCCAGGCTTTTGGCTGAGCATCTCAAGCCCCTGGACCCAGGCTCAAGGAGATTCGCAACCAGAGCAAGGGTTTAGGGTTTAGGGTTTAACAACCAGAGCAAGCACTGCGCCTCTGTGAACTTTTTTGGTTTTCTTGAAGAAGCCTACTGGGTTGGCCCCTAAAACCATTTAAACAATATTAGTATATAGGGTCCCTTATTAAAGCCATTAGGGAAAATATTAAATATCCCAGAGGCCTACGCAGCCTAGATACATGTAGCCCTTTCTTCCATTTTTACCAGAAGCGGGCAGAACCCTGAACCTACACCGTACCAAAGAAGGCCCAGCAACAACGGAATGATGGTCCCAGCAGTGTAAGACCAGGAGCAAGAGAGCTACCAGCATGAACCTGGATTACGCTGCTGCTAGAATGGCTCCAAGGTTTACAACTTGAGTCTCTTTACATATTCCTTCTTCACGTTTCTGCATGATGGCTCAGGCTCAAGTAGACGCATGGTGGTGTTGCATTGCAAATGGACTTCCGAGCTCATCTTTTGAGACTTGTCAAGGATGATTTGAAGTTTCGTACATAACAGCTTAGACATGCAGAAGTTGGATCAAACATCATCCATCTAGGTCACGCCTTAATCCAATGGACTACAGAATTCAACTGCAGCTTTCGAACAGGGAATCGCCGGTCTATCATCATATCTGCACTCTCAAGAAAATCAAGGGACGATTGTGCACTATCAGGAACATGCACTTTGACAGCCCTCTATTGGGGTCCCGTGCTAGTCCTGCTAGATCTCAATGGCTCTCATCGAGTAACGGTCCGCACGAGGGC